TGTCATACTGGCATCACGAATTTGAAACCGACTCGCATCTTCAGAAACTGCAAGGTGAGTATAAGGATTGCATAATACATTTTTGAAAATCGAAAACATTGACCAAGCAGGTGAAACGCTTCATCAGGCCTGTGATGATTGACCAAAAGCTTCCTATGCTTTTAAATCTTCAATGAGGCACTGCTTCTAAAACAAATTTCCAAAAATGGTATAAATTATACCCTGCTGTCTTCGATTTATTTGAACATGTTGACTTCTTGTTCTCTTTCATTACCGAATCCTATCCTGATTTATGACTGTGACCATAGAAACATCACCCTAACTGTTGCAGCTTAGTTTTTCCAGCCTTCCTCTCGATCTTTCACCAATAATTTTGCTATTGGTTCAACTAAATTCTTCTAATATAACATGATTTTCTGACTTGTGTTACAGGTAGTCGATTCCACGGTATTATTTACATTTTACTGAGCCTCTCTACATGACCGTTGCATGTCATCGCTGTTGCAGCACTGCACAGCTTGTCGCCATGAAGCAGCTTATCGTTTCATACGTTTCTTGCCCAGAGTATGGAAAAAACGCCAGTTGGACTCGAATCCAAGGAGTTACGGGTTAGAGACTCGACCTGTCACTCATCTTTCACTCTTTCGAGGTTGGTAGATGATTACCCCCTTGTCGGGAGGAAACTACAGACTACATGCTGTGTTTGACCCATAGATGTAGATTCTGCCTTCAAAACGAGGCACTCCTGGCTGATTGTTGCCCCCTAATCATGAAACTGTGAGATCGATGTCCAAAGGCTGCAAATTTTCATTCTTACCGTTGACTAACTCTTCCACTCGTGTGGTTTTTAGTCTAGCTTATAGAAAAAAGTTTGTTGCAGTTTGAATGCCGTTTTCCCTTGCACTACTAAGTTGCGCGGGATTTGTAGATGTCCGCTAAATCGTATGACCTCTGTCTCCTTCCTATATAGAGGCACTCATTTCTGTAACTGACAATGGTGGAACGCAATAGACTAGGTGGGCCCTACAATCCGATTGTAAATCCAGCACTCTAGGCACAGAAATGTCCTGATCTATGTCTCCTAACCTCTTTTCCAACGCTTTTACATCTTCAATCTTTCTTCCAACAAATCTTCGACCTATTGTTTGTAAATTTTAAACATTAAATCGAACACTGCGTTAAATATCGATTCGTAGAGCATAAAATAAACATTTTCAGTTCTGCTTAGAAATTTATGAAAAGAAAATACATTGAGCTGAAGTCTTGAGTCTCTCTATCTAGATTTTATACTGTTTTGATATGGTTTGGAAAATGCCCAGATGATGAAAATGTTTGTTCAGGTACGGATTTGGATGGATCGAAAATCGAAGTGAAACTTGCTAAGCCACCAGACAGAACAATTTTGAGTTATATGAAAGCTGCTCAGAAGATGGCCGGCCGTAGCATCGAGCAGCAACAGGAAGCCAGGGTTGGCTGTCAGC